TGGGTGTAACTTTGGCAGGAAAGCTCGGTTGAGAGTCGTCTTGATCAGGGGACTCACTGTTATAAGTGGAGGCGAACGAAGTCCCCTTCTCCCTGGTATTCATTTTCATGCTTTCTTTATGCGTATAGGCAACAACCGAGGTGTGCATGAAAGCGGTCAGCAAGACAAGTACGCTGAACAAGATAAGGGTCCTTGTCGCTAAATGCGTGCGTGGACCGGCCGGAGACTCGAGCATTCGATTCATTTGCATGGCAGATATCAAAGCTGGTGGTGTGTTAAGTTGAATAGACCTGTGATTTTTGGGTGTTGCGCGTTATTATTAATAGAGGTCCACTGTTAGAACTATATGTGTTGGAGAAAAAGTGGAATGTTTGCAATGGAGAAGTGAAGTGAGATTGGGTAAACAGTGAGCATTTGGACACACGGCGCGTGCCGATGGGGCCCAGCCCGCAGTGTTTTGCAGCGTGCCCCCGCTCCCTCTACACGTTGTTCACATTTAAAAATCGAAAATGTATTCAACAGAAGTACTGTATGAATATTAATAAAATTAAAGATCTTAAAATGTATAAAATAAATCCTATTTCTGATATCTCAACAATCACTGACGTATAAATAAAAATGTATTATTATAATTAGATGATAATACAATTTATCTCCGAATATCTAACGAAAAATAAAGAAACCAATCCCTACACGTTTTATTATTTTAGCACACTTATTAAGAAAATAGTGATCACTCACTAAACTAATGAGGATGGGAAGGTTTGGTGGAGGGGATAGGTACCCCTCTATCCTTCAGGACAATTATTGTATCCTTGTTTGTGTTTATGGCGCAATATTACTTTAATCTAAAAGTCTGTTTGAAATTTATACTGAAATGCCTTGTTGCATTTCTTATTGTCATTTTGTTCAAGTGGTTTGTATTTTTTTTTCTTATTATATTATAAGCTTCTTTTGAGATTCTTGAAGCAATCAATTAATAACTGATTATGGTTATCCTTTGGTGCACATCTTTTTTTAATACGCTTTACGTATCATAGATCTCACTGTTCAAGGTTCATCATATTATTTTTTCTTATTTTACCATGATGATTTGAATAATAATGTCTATATAATTTCATTTCTTCATATTCATAATAAGTTCTCTGAGAAACTGAGGAAAAATGTTCTTAGAGAGTTACTGTCTCCATAAAAGGTCTCCTACTATCAAATTTAGAAAATCAAATGTTCTTAGAATCGTAGAGATACATATGGATATAAACACTTCCATATATATACATGGTATTATTTCATATTCGTGTGAGATTTTTTTGACATTCAGTATATTATTTTGATATTTAAAATTAGAATGATTACACAAAAAGGGCATTTAATTCTTTTCAAATGATATAGAGTATTGGAGTTAAAATCATTTCGACGAAAATACAATACACATGTGTGTATACATATCCGCTATCTCGTATTTAATAGGTACAAATGGGAATCTTCCATCTGATAGTGACAAAAGAAAAATCAAACGGGTTACCCCCATACCTAATGATTTCCTTAAAAAGTTTTGCGTGATATCGATGTTGGTTTATTTAGAACATTGAAAGTTTCACTTTTTAAATAGAATTAGCACATTAAAGTGTAAAAAAAAACATTTTTCAAAAAATATGCAAAGTGATAGCCCAATGGGAACGCTTATCATTTTTGCACCTAATGTCTTCATTAGTAATTTCCACTTCATCAATGCTCATTTTCATCCACACATATACTTTTCATGATATTTGCAGTTCATTTCAGTTCACTCTTTCTATGTTTGAGATCAAAGTCATCCTTACCATGTGCTTACCCGCTTGACAGTCACTTCCCTTTCTTTACCTCATGCTGTATGTGGCGAGGTATAGTTGTGGCAACCAATGGTTTCCAAAAATTTGTGTTTTCACAATACTCCTTTGCTGTGTACCGTGCTGTTCGTACCACACAGACTCCCAGGTCCCCAACAGTCTTCAGAAATTGTGGGACTCGTGCAGTAGCCGAAATGATCCCACAGCACATGTGGTAACGCGCTTGCTTGACTGATTCGGCAACCCTTTCAGGTATCACTGCAAATTGTAGCTCCACTTTTTTTTTGAAAGAGTCCGGTTTTTGTATATATGTCCATATTGATCGCTGCTCACGTTGGGAAAGAACATGAAAGTAAAAAAGTCCATCATCAAGAATAATTCGGTTTGCATTGCGCATACGTTTCAGTACATTCCGTTCTCGTGCACGAGAACATTGCCTATAGCAACTTTTGCAAATTCGTAACCATGCGTGTATCGCCGAGGACGTATTAGGTGGAGGGTTCCCGTAGGATCCACACGCATTATTCCCCCTGACGTCGATAGTTTCTTCCCTATTGATTTCATAAATCGCATCATCAACGGTGTTGTCGTGGCTGAAGCTTGAAAAGAGAGTCCAAGTCCGCTGCCTTTCGACGTTACCGTCATAGACGGACCCATTTTCTCCATGAGTCCGATTTCCCGACCCTTTTGTGTGATACTTATCCTCCTGATTCTCACTTTGGGCCCTATAGTGTGCATAATTTGTCGTGTTTGATGGTAAATCACAAGGCTGCCGACCTGCCAAAAAAGTGGTCAGGCCTCGTGAAGTTGACGACTCACTCACAACGTAAGTGTGGGTGTCGAAGCATTCTTCGGGATTATCCCCGGTATCATCGGCGGTCATGCGCGCCGCGTATTCCGTCTTAATCACGGCGTGCGCTAATGTCGCCGAGGTGTCCTGTCGTTTACCAAGAAATTGACTGCATTTAGCGCAACATAAATGCCCACACCGACGGCAATGATGCCTGCGCGTGCAGACTGAAAAAGACCTCCCACAACTATAGCATGCCGCATGTGCCTCGCTGCTCTCCCAGAGCTCATGCACCTGTGCATGGTTGATGATGATGCGATCAATTCGCCGAAGAAGTTCGCCACGAGCTCGGTAAAGATCGGACAGAAGTTTAGAAAAAAAGCTGAGTTTGTTGATTTCGGCCTCATTTAAAGGTGTCAGTAGCAAATATGGAGCGACGGAGTAACTCTCGTGCGAACTAACGGGATTGTGGTCGAAGGAGTTCCCCAAAACGGCCGTATCCAAGGTCTCGGAGTTTGCCGCTTCTTTGAGAGAACTGAAGCTGTGTATACTTGTAGACGGTGATGTCTCAAGGGGCCCCGGAGTGAAAAGCATGACGCTAGTTCCCGCGTCCTTTTCAGAATGTTCATTCTCAGCATCTGAAAATGGTTCCTGTGCACACACTGGATGTCGAATGTTTTCCGATACCACATCCTCCGTACTTTTTCGCGGAATCCTTGAGTACCCTAAGTGGGGATTGCAACAGCCTTCTCCATTATTAGTTTTACATGACTTTTCGATCATTTTGCTAGTCTTCTGCTTAACCAAATGGCCGTCAAACGTGTCGAGTTCCCTAATATCTAATAGACCGCTGAGAAACGAATTAACTCCATCATCACGAGAAGGATGGGTATGTGGACCTCCATTATTGGTGAAAACCCCATGATGAGCCAACAAATCGCCTTTTACAAAGGCCGCTAACATCTGAGTGGTTTTCTCACCAGACAAAGGCTTTCCATCCTCCGATGACCCTTTTTTGTCCTCGGGCAATAACGTGAGTTGGGCGGGCCCTTGAAATGCGGTAAATAAACCTGACGCACCCCTAACATTTTCTAATTTCATCAATGAAGACGGACTCGTTGTTTGTCGTCGAAGCCACGGAGGCTGCGAGGAGGTCCGCCATAGGCCCCTAATTTCCCCCGGCCAGTCCTCCCGTCGGAGTTCGCTTTTTTGTTTGGGATGCGCCACCCTCATTCGGCCGCCAAGGTCTAGGTGATTTCGAGGTGTCGTCTCCTTTATCGAGCCGGGGGAGGGCCGGGGGGAAAAGGACGAAGGCCCTTGCAGGCCGATCTGAAAAGGGAATCGAAGCAGCTGATCAAAACAACGAGCCCGCGCACGCAGGGGTTGGATCTGGCGAACGGTCTCGTGGATTTTCTTCCGTAGTCGGATCATCTCGGAATGATGGTGCGCCATCCCAGGTAGCAGCATCACCGACACATCCCCTTTTTCGAGCTCCACATATAAAGGCAAATCCATCCATCCGACCTCATACCTATCGAAGCGCGTGGTGTTTTCGCACTTTTCCATATCGGAAGACTCCCCTCCAGAAAGGGACTTGCCATCAAAGTAATCTGGTAAAAACAGTTCGGTGGTTGTACTACATAACCCTCCTGCCCTTTCGCCTTTCCAAGCGCTTTGGCAGCCTTTCCTTGATATCCCAGCAGACTGACTTCGTGAAAAGGTATGTAAATTGGCGTCTTGGCCCTTTTCCCTCAAAATACAATCCTGAGAGTGGTGCGGTGTGTCCTCTTGTGAAGAAATGGGTAAGGACTTAAACATCGCCCTCGCGTTTAGCGAAGCCTCTAAAGGAGATGTTCTGAGTGTCAGAGGGGTTTGGCTAAGAGAGCGGATTTTTTTTTAAGGTGCGCCTGCCAAACCTTTGATTTGCACGTTTTGTGGAGATTAATATCGTTTTGGTGTTTACTACGCAATGAGAGAGGGTGTTGAGTGAGACCAACGGAGGAAAAACATCCTTGGGGAGACGCCACACTTTTCTCTGGAAAGTCACCCGCGCAAAACTCTAGACAAGAGCTACTACAGCTCGTAGGGGAAATATTATCCGGTGGGTCATATTCGCCCTTTATCTTCGGCCTTGAATACTTTTCGTCAATACCAAAAATTGATGTAGCGTGCATCTACACCGCTAGAAGCTATTTCAGAGGAGAGCTATATTAATTTTTCTCACTCAGATCGTTTCTTATAGTGTAAAAAAAAAGGTTCAGCAAATATTAATATAAATTAACAGTGGATAAATACCTTTGTGGTGATTGTTAGAATATCCTACAGGGTGCGATATGGTATTCGCACAAATATAGATAGATATCCACAAAGACTCCACGAGTTTATAAGCAGAGAAAAACAACTATTTTCATATAAGCAATAAAAATGTTAAGTGTTGAATACACGAGAATAATGTTGAAAAAATCAATACTACCTACCTGGAGGAACTCCTTAATACGGAAATTAGTGACTATGTTTACCCTTCTCTTGTTATGGGTCTTTTGAAGGGTACTTGAATATTCAAGCTAGGAATTAAAAATATGTATTTCCTATTGTGAATAAAATGGAGAATAAATAAATTCATGGAACCGTTACAGATGAATGATACATTTTTCATTAATAGAAATCATTTGCCCCCCTCCCTTCCAGCATAATACTTAGAAATTTTGTTAACATAGCTTATCCAATGCTAGATAAATAAAGCATCATATGTAAGAGCGCGAAATTGGCATTCAATGAAAAAAAAGGAAGCCTCACAACCTATTTGTAGAACTATTAGTTGTTACTAAGCTCGACAAACCTTTGGTAATGATAAATAATAAACCATTTAAATATTTAAACAAGAACAATTAAAAATATATACAGATTAAGTTTGCCGCATATTATGAGGGGCTAGTTATCAATTGCAACTAGAATGCTGATTACTTACAGAAATGGAACGAGCTATCGCGTTCAACATATTACGAAGAATTCCCGCATTAAACTTCTATCTCATCTGAAAGGAAATCTAAGAGAAAATTATCAGTAAGTCATAATTAAAAAAATTGACTCAAAATGGGTCATCATATCTAGACAATCAAGAGCAATGATAAAAAGGGCTAAAATAAAAGTTATAAAATATTAAAGAATTTTCAAATGTTATGTAGATAAAAAGGATGACGCATATGCGACGCCATAGAATCAGGTAGTTTTTTTTTTTCATGTACACAAAAATATATATGGATATATTGACTAGTGGAAATAAATCCTCATCGTTTAGTATGAAGGTAACAACTTTTTCTAGGACTCTTCTTTTAGAAAGAAAGGAATATTATGAAATGAAGAAACAAATTACTCAACCGAAGATTTTCCAGAATCTGTCAATCCTTCCATGACACCAGGGTTGAGGAACCCAACTTCAAGCCTTTATTGTAAATTTCATATGTCTTCTCGAATGATGACCACTGTGGATCAGTCGTCAAACGATGTATTAATCAATTCACTGGTTTTACCTTTCATACTAAAACACTTGTAAATCTCAAAATCGGATATTAGGTTCGACCAAGGTGGTACTCCCCCCCCCCCTCCCCTCCCACCCCCCGAGGTAGATATTCACGATGACACCCAATGAATTCGACATGAATGTCTCGGAGTGCCTTCAGACCCTAAATTCGATCAAAAAGGGAAATGATTGCCAATTTTGTATTGATAATTGACCAATGCAGATTCGCCAGAACCACGCGAAACAATCGTGAAAGGTAGGACAGACGGTAAAGAGAGGATGATGTCGAGCTGTGATATGCACTGCAAATAGAGATCCATCACGGGGTGCGGAATCTGATCTATTTATTATCATTTTTTTTTTGGAACCATTGATCGATATTAATTAATATTTTGGAATCTAGTAAATATGTAGAGGTCTGCGAAAAGCAGCAGAATACAGAGCTAACGAAAGAATACTTCATCTGTAGACTCATTTTTTCACTATAATATCCGTTATCACTTAAATTCAAAATAAATGAATACAGATTCAATGGAGTTGAAGTCAAACATCTTTTTTACATGCCAGACTAATTCAATCCTTTGTTGAAAGTCAGAAAAGGGTTTAAAAAGGTATTCAATGTTGAAAACTGTAAAATCATAAGCAATACCGACACACAGAAAGGTACTCAAAAATGCATTAGCATATTTTATCAATATAAATACAAAACACACATATCGTTAATATACAATCCTAAAGCAATCTTCGGTTTACTTCACACTCCCTCTCCAGATCATATTCCCCTTTCTTCAATCAACAAGCGGAGCCTAAACTATTCGAAGTGCATCTAAATCTGGAAAATAGAATGCAAGGTGTTGTATTGAGATGCTTTTTTCTTTTGTGTATTTGGGAGGGGGAGGAAGAGGATAATGAGGATGTCTCGGGCTGCAATGTCTGTTGTTGAGAAAAAAATTACACCCACTCCACTTTTCTTTCATTTTCACACTAAGAGTCTGCTTCTCTCTTCTATGAGATATCAATCCTAATAAGAAAAACCATTTAATGGTATTTCACGGCTATAGTCTTTAAATCAAGATAAAGAATCGCCAAGTAGGGAAAATTTAGAAAAAAAGATGGAAATAACTCGTTGCGCTTATTTCTCAGTATGAAAGATAGCCAACTTAAGAACAGTTATCCGTCCAAGGTGTCCCACGTGATGAAGAAGTATGAAAAAGAACTATCCCACAATCTGACGCCATATGGTTAATCGAGAGGGGCAAGAGTAATTTTCCTATTTAGCCCTTTTCCTCTCTCTCTTTTTCTCCTTCACATTGAGCTAATTCTTAGTATCCTTGAGCCTTTATTTCATCGCCGCTTCGTGTCGCTTGCAAACGTAATGGAACCAGTTTACTTTCACACTCCATATCCATACGCCAAATAAGTACATAAACATTCTCTACTTGTAAGTATACATAGTACTCCCCATCATGGCCAACGAGTGCGCCGAAGGAGTGGCCTACAATGCAATACCAACTTTCTCCATATTTACTATCAAGTTCACATTTCACGAACTTGGCAATTTGGTTTTGCTCTCGAATACGCAGGTTGTAAAAAGCATGAGCCACACAGTCAACACAGTCCTGCTGAAGGTCCCATGACATGGCGGATTCTTTCACTATTATGGTCGCGTTCACCATCGGAAGTATTATATTCGCCTCTAATAAACACCTTAGTGAAAATAAACGGTAAAGGGGAACTGATTACATACACGCACGAGAAAATATTCGGTTTAAATTCCATGATTCACACCATACATATTCCATAGAGATTTATCTGATGGGTTAAGAACAAGAGACATGAAACGACTAAGAATAACGGTAGGGATATGGCATGTTAATCCTCTTCATTTCAGAACGTCGAGAAAGCCACCTCGGACGCCATGAAGTCTCCGGCCCCCCGAACCAAGAGTATCCCCCGCGTGCCCCTCCACGGGAGTTTTGGCACTATGTACGACGCCTTTGAGAGGGGGCTGTCCACTTCACTTGTATGGATTGGCAAAAGTTGGGGAGGAACGCCCATAGACCCTTTTTGCATGCTGGCCTCACACTTCACGCGTTCGCGATACGGGCTATCTCCAAAGGGTGCGTTCATCGCAGTATGGGTCGCCAACTCCTCTGGTGGGATCGCCATGTCGAATTGGGATTGTCCAGGAACGGTCGAAGCCCCGGTTCGCGCAACGTTAGGACGCCAACTCCGGAGGGAGGGGCGCACATAACCGTGCAAACTGTGCCTAATGCGTTGTTCTAGACCTGAGGGCCACAGGTAGCGCTGGATTTCTCTTTGAAACCACCTGAGCTCTTGCCGTCGATCCGATCCATTATTCGGGTGGTCAAAGGTAGGAGTATTCGGTGAATGGCGTAAAACTGGATCGTCATCGGTGAGCTCTTCGGGTTCAAGTTGGATAATCTCAAACGCATTGCCTTGACGGCCCAGAAGCCCATCGCCTTTCAACATGCTCGTGCTCTCTTTGATAAATCGAGACGACTCCTTACCATTCAGGACCGCCGCAGTGGCGTCATCACAACATTGAGGGGGGGGGTGCTGTGCTGCCGAATCCACAGCACTTTCCTGCACAAACCCACCTTCGCGTAGCGATTCCCCTGGCTCATTATTTCCGATTCGCAGTTGGGAGGGACTATCAGAGCGCACACCATTTTCGACGTGGATGCGGTCATTTCCTCTACAATCCATTGTATCGATCGCGTCGCGATTGACCGCTTCGCCAGTGGCATGACAAGAACCATGTGGATATCGGTCGATGTTTAGTAAACGATCCGTAAGCTCCAACTTGGTACGAAGGGCTGCCTCATAAGTCGCTTCCTCCATCGCTAGCTCACGCAATTGATGCCGCAAGTCATGAGGATCGACGGCTGCTTCGCTTTGGCTGTGAGGTTTCTCGACAGCGAGCGCACTGGGGTCTAGCGCATCCAATGACTCCCCATCCTCCTCCTGAAGACCCGACAACACGTCCGCCCGGTGTTCATTTTCGTTGTCCGTCAATTGTGCGGTTTGCTCCTCAGAGGAGCATTCCATGGACACTTCTTTGAGTTTATCTTGTAGGATAGCTCGCCGGCAGGCAAAAAGGTGACCTTTATGCAAGGCCTCTGACTGGAATGCCCTCTGTATGAACCTCAGCGCCAAACATGATAGCCTCGCAGAGGGTGCGGTCGCCATCATTTGACTTAACCATTTTGGCAAGCCATCCGTCCCTTCCGTGCCGTTAGCCTGTTCAATGTGAAGACTTTGTCGCGTAATCGAGGAACTTTCGGGTGCCATACCAGCTGGTATCGCGGTCGGTTCCGTTGGGGTTTCATTTCGATCCATGCGACTCGGGTCGAAAACCGCCATTTCGCACGCGGTCCAACGAGGGGAGAAGGCCAGCTCGGAGGGCTCCAGCTTGTTGGGTTGCTTATCCAACTCCTCCAATCGTCTGCGTTTTATCAAGGTGGGGCCAACGCGCTCGTCGCGTCGGTCAAGCGCGGTCTCCTTCCCGGACCCAGCGTCAGCCGGGAGGATCGAACCCGAATAAAGGGGCCTGACCCCGATGGGAGAGGGGACCCACACCGCCCCGGGCCCCAACAGCAGCCCCGGCCCCCGCCGCCCGCGCTCGCCGAGGAGGGAATCCCG